TTGTAGGTCTTCTAAACAATTTATATAATAGACTCAAGGGAGGGGGAGATTAAAGTATCTCAACATAAACACTTGTCCCCTAAGCGGCGGAGAACTGCAGTAGGCAGGACCAGCCTTGAGCCGATTGGACCGATTGCTCCCAGTTGGGCCCCGCGCCTCCTACGGCAGACTGTGGCAGTAGGACTACTATCCCAAGCTAGGAAAGAAAGGGTAACAAGAAAGAGGAGATTTAGATTAGATTTTGCCACCGAAGTGGCTAGTTTATTGTGCACCCCATAGAAGAGGAGGAAAGTGAGAAGACAGGAAAAACAGAGGGAATACAAAAAAAAAAAAGCCAAGCGGAAAGGAGAGGAGGAAGCAAAAGTCAGGTTAAGCCACACGTGTTCTGAAGATTAGGGCATTTAACAGGGTATTGGGAAAGGCAAGCATCTACAGAAACTGCCAGGGCTGATTCGACAAGAAAGCGTCTTGGAAGGCTAGCAAAGACTCAGTTAATGGAATGGCTGAGATCTCTTTACATGAAAGAAAAGAGCATCGTTGGTTTCTGCAAGGTGAACACTTCTTTTGTGCTCTTTAAAGCTGTCAGAAACGGAGAGGCCGGTTTCATCATAGTATAGGAGAGGACAAGAAAAGTGAATACTAAAATGGTCTTGAGCAGTGTTCCACACTATGAAGCAAAATTCTTCTCCAGGCTTAGGAGGGACTGACCACATCAAAAGTACTTCTTCAAGGGTGATGGACTGATGACAGCGTCTTTACATCTCTACTGTTTCTGCTCACTCTTCTGTACTCGACTGAAGAAGCCTACTGTGTAGGTGAAACGTTTCGGAAGCATCAGTGATAGAAGTACGAATTATATTCTTACGTAGGTTATTAATTTGATGAAAAGCAAATTGAATATCTAGAGAACAGAGGATATTGTTAAAATTTTGATTGGTGGAAATGTCGCGAGATCAAAGAACGGGAGATATAACAGAAGTGAGCTTGAGGTAGAAGAAAATCCGTTTAGCAAGAGAAAAGACAGAGTTCCTGAAATCGGGAGGATAGCCAAGGCTGCTGTTGCTGTTGCTTTTACTGCTGCTGCTGTTCTTGGTGTTGCTGCTACTATTGTTACTGCTGCTCCTGCTGCTGCCTTCTTCTTCCCGTTTGGTATTGTTAAAACGTTTCAACAGTAAAGATATCCAACTGTTGCACATGTCTCTTAATCATCAACTTGTCGGTATTTTGTACTATTATCAACATATACTGTCAGACACTGCAGCATAACAGTGCCTTGGTACAGAGAATTTCATATTTCATCGCATATCTACTAATTACAAGTGAGAAGGGTTGGATTCCAGACACCTGCCTTCTTACTTCTAGTGAATCCCGTCACCTGCAACATCTTTGAGATCTTCCACCTCGCCTTCAACAGTATTAAAGGTTCCATTCTCCTGCTGCAGCTTCATTTCGCTCCAGACCGTGGAGCCGAACTCCTCTCCAGGCTCAGGGACTGACCATCTCAAATACTTTTTCACCGATGTTGATGGACTGATTACATTATCCCTATTTCACTACTACACCTGCTACCTCTGTATTTGACTGAAGAAGCCTACTGTGTAGGCGAAACGTTTCAACAATAAAGATGATTTAGAAAAACACGTAAGCAAAAACTACTACATATTATTAGAAAACGTTTAGGTCCTGGGACCTTGATCACTTCTAACACACAGAACAACAACAAGTTCAGGTAAGATCCCAATGGGATGAGTGGGGAAGACGGGACAGGCGAAGAATAGCGCTGGAGAGGAGTGTTCTTAGTTGTAGAAATAGAGCCAGGGCTCAACCCAGCAGCTAAGTAGATCGTGGGACAGACATTGAGAACACACATAGCAGGCTCTTCTGTTGGGACTCCGGTGGGTGAGAGGGGACAGACGAAGAATAGTCGGTGAGAGGAAGGTCTTGAGTTGTAGATGAACGAGCCAGGGCTGCGTGGCACTGCGAGGCAGTGTAGAGAGGGCATGTTGAGGGCATAGAGGAGAGAGCACACTATAGACAGTGCTCGCTGGCTGATACGCTTCAGGCTGAGGTGAAGAGCTGGTTTGGACGTCAGATGTCGGGAGGTTCACGTTGTGTGTTGAAAGTTAAGACACATGTGCAACATCTGGATATGTTTATTGTAGACGTTTCGCCATCCAGTGGCTTTATCAATACAAATTCTAGGACATAATTGGAAGATAGTAGAACTATATACAAAAAGATGAGGTAATCAGTCCCTCAGCCTTGGAGTCAGTGTTCACAGCATCGTGGTGGAGGAGAATCTGGAGCAAAGGCAAGAAGACTGGAGGTTATATAGGCGTCAGTGGATAAGGACGTGCAGCAGACGAGGGCATAGTCACTGGTAGGCGGGATTCCCCAGTGGAAGTAGGTCCTTCCCAAAGAGATGGGTTAGTTGTAGAAGCCGTGAAGAAGGTCTTGTAGATGTCCTCTGAACCAGATTCCATGATGTATGTAGTTCTACTATCTTCCAATTATGCCCTAGAATTTGTACTGATAAAGCCACTGGATGGCGAAACGTCTACAATAAAGATATCCAGATGTTGCACATGTGTCTTAACTTTCATATTGTCGGTATTTTATACCTTTCTTGCACAACGCTGTGTGTTGCGGAAGTGTGTTGTGTGTTTGGCTACACTTCGCTGGTGATGGAGCCACTCTTGAGTCTTTTGAAGTCTCTCTTGGACATGTGAAATAGTTGCATTCTGAGGTTGGAGCAGTTCAGATTCGTCACGAGGTAAGATAGTGCGTTTTCAAAAGGAATTTAGTGAGGTTTGGTGCAGGTGTACTTAACAGCTCCCTCTTTCATTAAGTGGAGCATATCAGCTGCGCTCATTACACACAGAGGTTAAAAAGACAGCATATATAGGCAGAGTGAGGTGTAAGTGAAACAAGGTGACCTGAAGAATGCCATATTGGGATGAGGACGGGTAGACAATTGTATCATGTGACTCCTGTGTTGTTGGGTAGGTGGTGCTTTGCCTGGTTGAGTATCATGTATGTTAATGTTTTAGAAATTTTGTAATTTCCAGTATTACGTTCTGTGGTGTCGGTGACGGCGATCAGCGAGGCTTCCAGACATCGTCGGTGTCTAAGGACTTGTTCGGTGAGGACGAGTCGTGCCTCATCCCAATTCATCAAATGTACTGTGGAGTCCCTGTGGTGGACATGCGTACCTTAAGTCATTTCTGTTACAGGCATTTTGATGTTCGTTAGGGTTAGTAAGTTTATTCAGGTATACACAAATACAGTTACATAGACTATCATACATTGATCCCCGAAACCTTCTCCAGGTAAACATAGCAGCATATGTGTAGAGAACCTAGGATAACCCAAGAAAGTCAAAGTGACTTATTTCCTTTGGACCTAAATATCTCTGCCTGTTTTCCCTACATATTTCTCGGGACAGTATCCACAGGGGATGGTATAGACGCCCATTGTGTAAGTTAGAGATGTGGGGCTACGTTTCATATTGACGTCTTTGATAGAGCAACAGCAAAACCTTTCCTGGGCGGTAATATGTCGTCGGCTCCTTATTGAGTCATGACCCTTAATACTAACAACAACAACAACAACGAAGGTTCTGCTTCATGTGAAATTTGTCAATTTTTGAGAGAAATAGTCTGGAAAAAAAAGAAGAATCTGTGAGCAGAAATAGTTACTGGCACCAAAAAGGTAATCAAATATGCGAGCTAATAATTAGCTTTATTTGTGTACATATAAGTTTTCTCCAAAAATTTTTACCGTTCAGTCTACTTGGAAAATATAAAAGTTAGTTCTTACTTAGACCTCATACCCCTCAAGGGGGGTTCCTGGACACTAGTGAGGGGTTCTTGATCTAGGGAACTGGATCTGTGCTTCAGTTCCCTGAGTTGAGCCTGAATGCCTTCAATTCCCCCCCCCCCTTCACCGGCTCTGTATAATCCCTAAGGATTTAGCGCTCCTCCATGATTATAATAATAATTAGACCTCATACATAATTGGAAATTCCTACAAATGCTCTAATATAGTAATTTGTGTAGAATATGAAGAATTAGACACATCTAGGTATCTTATTTGTAGACGTTTTGCTGTCTATTGACTTGATCAATACAGTACAATACTCTTCAGGTCGCTTGTTCTATCTAGGCTGGAATATTGCTGTATACTAACAGCACCTTTCAAGGCAGGTGAAATTGCTGACCTAGAAAATGTACAGAGAAGTTTCACGGCGCGCATAACAGCAATAAACCACCTCAGTTACTGGGAACGTTTGAAGTTTCTAAACCTGTACTCCCTAGAATGCAGGAGGGAAAGATAAATGATTATATACACCTGGAAACTCCTAGAGGGACTAGTACCAAACTTGCACACGAAAATCACTCCCTACGAAAGCAAAAGACTCAGCAGGTGGTGCAATATCCCCCCAATGAAAAGCAGGGGTGCCACTAGCACGATAAGAGACAACACAATAAGTGTCAGGGGCCCAAGACTGTTCAACTGCCTCCCAGCATACATAAGGGGGATTACCAATAGACTCTTGGCTGTCTTCAAGCAGGCACTGGACAAGCACCTAAAGTCAGTACCTGACCACCCAGGCTGTGGTTCATACATTGGATTGCATGTGGCCAGCAGTAACAGCCTGGTTGATCAGGCCCTGATCCACCATGAGGTTGGTCACAGACCAGGCCACGGAGGCATTGACCCCCAGAACTCTCTCCAGGTATACAAGGACATATTTTATACATAGTTCTACATTCTTTACATTATGTCCGTGTATTATATTGATAAAGCCACTGAATGGTGAAACGTCTACAAATAAAGATACCCAGATGTTGTACGCGTCTAATTTTTCTTCCTTTCAGTATTATATACCTTTTATGTACATGTAGAATGTAACCTACGATAATCCCATAAAGTCGACTTATTTCCATTAAAGCTCTGATGTTATGAGAGTTTATTATGGAAACATTTCATCTGCCAGGCTCAGGAGGTGTCCAGATGCTGGTGAAGGGCTCTTGATCTGAGGAAGTGGATCTGTCCTCCCCTTTCTTAGACCAAACCTGATTGCTTCTCCTTCTCCATGTACTGTATAACCCCTTATGGGTTTAGCTCTTCCCTGTGGTTATAATAGTACACTATGGGCTTATAAGTTCAATAGATTTATCAAGTCCTGTTGGGCAAAATATTTCCATAATAAAGTTACCTAACATTGTGTAAGTGACTCTAATGCATTTGTTGGTTAAGGTTTATGACCAAGGGCATTGTCAATGAGGGGTGAAGCTTCCCCTACAAAAAAGTTGCGCCCCCCCAAAAGCCAGGGCAAATAAACATAATAATAATAATAATAATAGTAATAATGCTCTAAGACAGGTCCCCTAGCTCCACTTTCCAACCAGATTGCTACTGCTAAGCCCCTAACATTATAAAATTCTGGAGTCGCCCTTGTTCACGACTACTACTCAGCAGAACTCAGACGTTGATTTATATTTTACAGTACACACAGCCTGTAGACACAAAAGTATGAATATTTCTTAGAAATCTGTTATTTTGGGAAATTATTTATAACATTTCAGGTATATGTATTTTTAAATGTTTATACAGCTGTGTACTGTATATTGTAATAAGCAGAATAGAGGAAATCAGCTCTAAATTACATTATTTAGGTATGCATGCTGGTCAGAGAGCCCATCATAAGTCCAATTTGTTGATAAGTAAGTATGCTACTAAGTGAAGAGAGGCTGTACTATTATTATTATTATTATTGTTATTGCAATTCATTCAACAACAGTAAACCCTTGCTATAACAGATTAATGATGGGGTAAATTGTCTGAGTGTTAAATTGGATGTTAAAAAAAATTGCAAAAAGCACTTAAATACTCTACTGTATACGTTCCTTATTACAGTACTATTCCCTCATTGTACATTTATATTACCATAAACATAAATAATGAAGGAATGAAAAGTACAGTTTACCAAGTGGATTTTGCCTGTTATTTTAAAAATCCATTGACTCAAGTCCATTATTTAAAGGGTTTACTGTACAATCAGTCAAAAGACCCTTAGTGTGTGCACTTGTCTTGGCACACTTAAGACTTTCCTAACACTAAAATATTACATAGTTATGCATAATACAAGGCATTGACTGGAAGTTAAAAAAGTAGTTACGATGTAATTTACAAGGTATTCACTTACAGTTGTAATTATCCGATTGGGGAATATTTAATATTTTACGAATTTATGATAAGGTATCAGTTAAAAATTATGACATTATAGCACTTCAGTTCAGTATTTAGACAAGTATTTAAGCTTGATTTCGAATTTAGTAAGTATATTTGCAATTTTTCAGTTCATCTGGCAAGGTATTCCACATTTTTTGTCCTTTAATTAACACAGAATTTCTTTAAGTATTCAATCAAACAAGAAGGATATCAAAAAGATATTTGTTTCTGACATGAGTAGAGCACCATCACTAGTAGAGAGTACACAGTTGGTTCACCCCCCTTCCCCCTCTGTACATGCAAGGTTACCACTTCCTCCCCCTCCCTTCCTGGATCTGTGCCTTAGTGGTAGTTAGGTTTTATCCAAAGAGGGTGGCAGTAATTCCTTTGATCAAGGACCCTTCATTAGCATCAGCAGTAGTTCATCATACCTAGGTATATTTTATGCTTATTGACAATACACTGTTTAAATTCCAAAGTCTTCATAGGTACATACTGGAACTCAAACAAAATTCAGTACTGTAACTCGAATATGACAAACTTCGGTTAATGACTTCTTGCAATACAACACTATGCTCTATTGTATATCTTTCTGCTTAGAGAATAAGTCATAATGTTATAGCTGGAACACTCACAAATAGCCCATACCTGGCCACTGACTCTCATGGTTGTATATAGCAAAATATATATTTTTGCTATTCTTTATTGCAGTTCATCCTGTCTCTGTTGTTATACAATACAGTGGTACCTCAGGATACAAACTTAATTCATTCCAGAAGGCTGTTTGAGTGCCGATACCGAATGAATTTATTCCCATAAGGAATAAATGTAAATTAGATTAATCCGTTTCAGACCCCAAAAAATACACTTACAAAAGCACTTGCATAAATACACTTACATAATTGTTCAAGTTTTAAGCTGTTCGTATCCCAAGGTACCACTGTACATGCCTAATGCCATTGTGTCTGCATGGTTTAAGGCTTCAGAAACCTTTTTTTCAGTGTTTGACTGTACATTAACCTAAGTTAACACATATATATTGTCTCCAGTGTTGGCATTCCTTTGCTCTTAATGCTATTCTTTTCTTCAATATTTTTAGCTGTATATTTTTGCCACATTTTTTACATGTTATATACTGTGTATGTATTGGCAATATGCCAATATGATAAAAAAATATATGCAGTACTGTACATACAAAAATTATATATGGCTGACTGTTAGATAACACGGTAATTATGTTCCTGAGAACAGCGTGCAATCAAAAATGCTTGTAAACTAAACTGAAGAACATATGGAAAAAATGGGGTTATGCTCATTAGTCCCTCAATAAAGCCAACCAAATATTTTATAGGTTGAAAGATTGTAAAAAACAATGATAATAATGTAATTGTAAGTCAGTTTGATGTGTGTCAGTCAAAAATCTTGCAACTACATCTCTGCTTGTAGAGGTGCCTTATTGTTCGAATGTTCTCATTGCAATTGTATGGAGGATATAAAGGAGGGGTTAGAGCAGTTGGGGTGAGCAGGTTTTGTGTGGGGTGGGGGGATGAAGGGTAGGGATGGGGTACTGCAGTATTTTTCAGCTTTATTTAGCTGTAGTGACCTTCCCATTTTTTTGAGCATGTCATGCTCTGGATTACTCATCACACAAGCTCTTATCTTGTTCTTATTATTTCAAATTAAATAAATTATTTCTCACACACCAAAGGCACAGGCTGCCTCCATCACATGCGCACCACTTCTGAACATGTTAATTACCAATTTTCTTTAATAAAGGCATAGTTTTACACTTAAGCTTCTTGGCATCTTTGTGATCACCATTGTTTGTTTTTACCATGATTCATATTAAGATACAAGACAGGGTAATGAAATATCAACAATAGATTGACAACACAGGAGACAGGAGAGGGTGTTGGTATGGTACATGTCCAAGTGGTAGCAGTGTAGGTGGGAGGTGAGAGTTGGTGTAAACACCACAGGATGGAGCTAGGTCTAGCAAAAATAATGGATATGTGAGGCACACGGGAGAGGAAATATCCCACTTTTACATGGCACAAAAGATGGTGGGATTTAGAACAAAAGCAGAAGGTAGGTCATGAAATATGAATAGCAAAGTGATGAAAATGCAGTACGTGGGAGCACAGTAGGTGGAAGTTTACTGTACATCTTGTGTAGTGGACACTGACTGCATCAGATGTCAGCACAGTGATTTCATATCCTCTGCATCATTAGTTAAAATGTGAGGAAAATTAGGATATTATCCAATAGTTTCATTTGCATTGCTCTCTTTACTTGGTTTGTTTACAGTACAACAGTGGATCATTGCAGAATTGCCAGATTGGCCACTGTTCCCATTCTTAAGATGAACCAATATTTTCTCTCTCTTCTAGTTTATTAATATTAAATATAGATCACTAGGTAGTAGGTTGGTAGACAGCAACCGCCCAGGGAGGTACTACCGTCCTGCCAAGTGAGTGTAAAACGTAAGCCTGTAATTGTTTTACACGATGGTAGGTTGGCTGGTGTTTTTTCTGTCTCATAAACATGCAAGGTTTCAGGTACGTCTTGCTACTTCTGCTTACACTTAGGTCACACTACACATACATGTACAAGCATATGTATACACACCCCTTTGGGTTTTCTTCTATTTTCTTACTAGCTCTTGTTCTTGTTTATTTCCTCTTATCTCCATGGGGAAGTGGAACAGAATTCTTCCTCCGTAAGCTATGCGTGTTGTAAGAGGCGACTAAAATGCCAGGAGCAAGGGGCTAGTAACCCCTTCTCCTGTATATATTACTAAATGTGAAAGGAGAAACCTTTGTTTTTCCTTTTGGGCCACCCCGCCTCGGTGGGATACGGCTGGTGTGTTGAAAGAAAGAAGAAATATAGATCATGGTTGCATAAGATAATGTAAGCAAATATTACTATTCAGTTAACTATTATGGTGTGGGAAAGAATGCTGAAGGTAATTGCATGGAGAGAGAGGGTGAGCACAGTAAGCAAGACATTCCCTAATTCTCTTCCTATGGCTAGCCATCCTTCCATCCTCCCTTGCCTACCATCCTCTGACACATACTAGATGTCGATGACTGTGCCAACAATGTAATTAATAAATTTGCAGTTCTTTACTAATCTCTACCAAACAAACGTGTTTGATGCAAGTAGGAATTGCTTAGACTGGACCCCGGGGTTACTGCCATACACCTCCATTCTTATGTAATTGTTAAGTGTGAGTAAGACCTGCTTACCATGGACCAGCAAACCTACTTCATTGTTTGTATTTTCTTACATAATTATTGAGTGTAAATAGGAACTGCCTAGCGCAAGTTAGTGGGTCTACTGCGGTGTTCTTTTATTCTTGTATTTATCTAGTGTTTGGGCTAACTTTTTTCTGATTTTGTCACAGATGGTGAAGTTTTGGAGCTATTTTTGGTTTCAGTATACTATAGTATTTGACCTCTCTTAGAGTTCCTCAAAAAGTATAGTATACTTTTACTTGAGATATATGAAAAATTAAGGATTTTTTTGCAAGAAAGTCAGGACTCTACCAAACGCTTCAATGGGTTGTACTAAAGTATAGGTATATATTTCTTTTCTTTATTTATTGGTGCTAAAAAATCTTGTTGACTACAACGAGACTAAAGTCTTTGCTGGCTAATTCATTTCAATGTTTCAGATGGATAACAAAGATGAGCTTCATCCAAACTGGAAGGCTCTGGCTACTGCCCACTTCAGGTGGAAAGTGTTTGTACAAGCACAGCCAGAAGCACCACAAGAGCAAAATGATAAAAGTAGGGAGAAAATTTGCACATCTTTTGACGGAGATGCTGCCAAGAAATTTTACGAGAAATTAATGGACGAAAGTTCCATGCCCGAAAATAGCACTGATGAAGAATGGTCAGAAACAAAAAACAGTGAGAGAGATTTTACCTCAGTTGGAGATGTTTGTAATGATATTGTAGATGTTGCAGAACATAAAGCAGTTGGTAAAAAAAGAGAAAGTGCTCAGTCTATAAATAAAGCAATGAAATTTGCCCAGAATAATGATGCAATTAATTTAAGAGAAATGTTGACTAATGGTTTTAATGTTAATGCCAAAGATGAGTATGGATGGTCACTCTTAATGGTTGCTGCATGTGCTGGTGCTAAGGATACAGTGCAAGTATTACTTGATAACAAAGCAAGAATGGGAGTAAGGGATAGGAAAGGTAACACTGCCATATATTTAGCAACAATGAAAGGGCATACTAATATTGTTAACGTGTTGATAAAAAATAGTAAAAAAATGGACAATAATTCCTTGTTAGGTAAAGAAATGGGAACTTTCAGTCCAAAGAGGAAACCTCAAATTGAAGAGTTTTTTTGTGATATTTGCCAAAGAACAATAAAGGAGAGTTCACCTCTCCAGCATGAGACTTCCATTGTTCACCAGTTCAACCTGGGGACAGGGGCAAATAAAACTATATATGGTATTCCTCCCAGCAATAAAGGCTATCAGCTTCTTGTTCATCAAGGCTGGGATACAGAAAAAGGCCTTGGTCCTCAGACGTCTGGTATGAAGTTTCCTGTTAAGACTGTTCTAAAAAGAGATAGAGAAGGTCTTGGTAGTAGTATCAAGGATGTTGCAAGAGTGACTCACTTTGGTCCAGCTGATGTGGCTGCTGTTAAAAGAGTTTGTAAACCAGGCGAACGAATTGAACGGCAAAGTACTCTTAGCAAAAGAGAAGCCAAAAAGCAAAAATCAAAAGACATACAAAAAGAAATAGACATAAGAAGAATGTTAAACGAACCCGATTTTTGAGATCACCTCTGCATCGTATGTGTGATCAGTTTTCAGGGTCTGTGATTTACCCCTCTCCTGTTTTGTGCATTTTCCTGCTCAGGTCCAGTCCCACCCAGCCTGAGGGCAGACTTCCTTGTGCAGTGCTTGGTCTCCCAGGCTTTTGCTCCACTCAACACTTGTCCATTTCATATAACTATTTGGAAAATGTACATTGCTATAGTCACAGACATTGTAGAAAGGAAGTACTGCATTAAAAATATGTTACAAGAGTAGAGCGGAAGTCACAATTTTAAATGCAGACTTCAGAAGAATGCATCTCTCAAAATCACATACTATCTGGTGATTGCACAAAGTTGCCTACTCTCATGATATGAATGTCCCTCTTTATGATAGTAGAGCCTGTCTGTCTTGGACAAGCTCTGCCTCCAGTCATGATAGCAAATCTATCATAGTCATGTTCCACCTCCAGTCATGATAGCAAATCCATTATGGTTAAATCCCACCTCCAGTCATGATAGCAAATCTGTCATGGTCAGATCCCACCTCCAGTCATGATAAAAGTCTTATCATGGTCAGGACCCACCTCTTCCCTTTCCCTTCTGTAGTGCAACATTGTGAAGCTTATGGTTTTAATCCACTCAATAAATGTAATATAATCAGGGCCCCTCTCAACAGAGTAACATGAAACCTTTCCAGTGCATTAAGTTACTGACATTTTTTTGTTCCTTGGTGTAGGACTGCAAGTAACCAATTTGCTCACAAAAAAAAAAAATTCTCTAGTAAGATATATTGGTAACTTATTGGCTTAAGTTGGTAAGCATGTACTGTATAATTTGCTGTTTTTATATTTTTATAGATAATTTATTCAATAAATATTTTCTGTGCTTAGGAAGAGTGCTTTGCTGTCAGTAAAGGGCTCTTGATTCAAGGAATTGTAGCAACCCTCTTCTTAGATCAGACTTAATTACTAAATCCTTATGGGCTTAGTCTTTCTCCTATTATTATTTTTTATTATTATTTTTATTATTATTTGAACTTTCCTACTTTTCTTTTAATAAATACATTATTGCATTGGCATGAATACAGTGTGAACCATATAGGTTTACTTCTTAATTTTTAATATTGTCATGAATAGGTAAATGTGTCATATACTATATGCTGTGTATATAATTTATGTTCTTTTAGATTTGAAAATAAAAATAATATTCAGTCTCGGTAGTATTTTGTGACCAGATATTGAAAGGATTTCGGTACCCCACCATCCTCACTTAATAATTTATTAACATTATTGCTTTCATGAAGACTGCATCAGTGTGATTTGTGAATTCGGAATGTCCATGCTGCATGTGCCTTTCTGATGGTAGGAGTTAATTTTCTGTTAAACTAAGACTACGAAGGTACGCTATTATGATGTGTTGAAAAGGAAAATTAAAATCTTTATTTCGTTGGAAACATACATGAAAGAGTGAATGGGTTTGCAGTTCATTTGGCTTGGTTGATAGTGTGCTCATCTCACACTAAAGGACCAGGGATTGCTTCCCTGCTTGGGTGAGACGTTGGGCATGTTTCCCTTACACCTGTTGCCTCTGTCCACCTGGGTGTTAGTTGACTGTTGTGGGTCACATTTGGAAGGAGAAGATTAAATGATCCCAATGGAAATGCAACCGACAGTCTCCCAGTAACTCGTGGATTTTATTAGGTTATCCTGGTTTGCTAACACTAGGTTAAAAATTTGATCAAAATTTTATCCTATCTTAATATGCTACAAATACAGTTTGATACAGTTATAATTGTACATTCAAAAGAAATCCACTTATTATGCCAAGAATTTCAGGCAAACTAATCCTAAACTTAGTTTAAAGGACCTTGATTTAACAGACCCTGGTTTATGGACCTTGAGTTAACAGATCTTGATTTAACAGACTTTGGTTTAACAGACTTTGGAAACACTTAACAAAATCTGCTTGGTCAGTTGATTCAAAATCAGCAATGTGATTTGGTTAAAGAATTTACTATTTTTGTTATGATCACGGCAAAATAATCCCATACTACCCCCGTTAGTTAAATTGAGGGTTTACTGTACAGTACTTAATAAAGTTCTTGGTAATTGCCTGCATTAAAGTGCCATAAACTGTTTGATGAAAAATGAAAAAGCACTTAGAAAAATAAACGTAAACACAGTACAGGAAGTCCTCACTTAACATCGTCGATAGGTTCTTGGAAACTGCTGCTTTAAGCGAAATGACATATGTATAACGAAACCAGTTTTACCATAGGCTAATTGATATATAAAAAAGTTAAGTTCTTATGGCAAGGGAGTGCTGGGAGGGAGGGCAGTAATGCTGCAGATGCTATGACTATGGGGTATGTCACTGGTTGCTATCAAGTTGTATATCTACTCTATTATTGACTTTTTATTATTTTAGTTACAATATCACATATTTTCAGAATTATACAAGAAACACGCTACATGTCATAAAAACTGAATACAAACGGCCATAACAGAGAAAATTACTATATGTAATAGTAAAGCTGGGTAAGCAGCTGTGGCTTCTTAGTCAGCACTTTCAGACTTGGCTGTTATTTGTATGTCATGCAGTTTTAAATTTATTTTATTTATTTATTTGAACATGATACAGTGAAGTACAAAGGAATACAGTTATTACAGTGCAACATGCCAAAGCCCCTTGTATGCAGAGCATTTTATATAATTATATATAATATATAATTATATATAATACCGTACTGGTAACATGGTGCTCTATAAAGCTAGAGCTGGCTTTGCCCCTCTGTTTCCTTGGATCAAACCTGCATTCCTCCCTAAAGGTAAAAAACTGCATTTCTGTGAGATGATTGCTTGTACTGCTGCAACTGATTTTCATTTCCTGATGTGTGTATAAGCAGCAGTGAAAGTACATCAGAACTGGAAAAAAATAGGAAAGATCATGTAATTTCTGTAAGATGCTTTTTTGGAGATTAAAGTTACCTCCATCTTTAACCATGGATCCAGCATTTTCCAAATAGGAAGAGTGCTTTACCAATAGCTCTTGAAAAATTCAGCAAAATGTTTCCAAAAATGCTATTATGCTTCTCAGTGAGAATGCCTCTGACATTTCTTTCCCACTTCACTGTCTTCAGCCAAAGAAGCCCTCCTATTGAATTTCATTACCTTTGGATAATGTCTTTAGATATCAGACAAGGACAAATTTCATTACACTCCAGCCAAGGTCAACTGAGGGTGTCTTAGATGATCATAAAGTTGATCATACACTGCTGAACTCGGCTAGCCATAACATCTCATTGTGTATTGTGAGAAGTGTCCAGCATGCTTCAAGCTGAGATGCTAAAACAGCTACTTAATGCTGGCAAAGGACTTTCGATCCAAGAAATTGGAGCTATCCACTTCCTTGAGTCAAATCTGATACCCTCTCATTTCCTGGGTACTGCATGACCCTTTCAGATTTAGTGATCCTCCATGAATATACAGTGGACCCCCGGTTTATGATATTTTTTTCATTCCAGAAGTATGTTCAGGTGCCAGTACTGACCGAATTTGTTCCCATAAGGAATATTGTGAATTAGATTAGTCCATTTCAGACCCCCAAACATATACGTACAAACGCACTTACATGAATACACTTACATAATTGGTCGCATTGGGAGGTGAACGTAAAGCGGGGGTCCACTGTATTATATTCCTAACACCAGTCTTCTCTTAACCATGCTTTTGCTAAAGGTCCACATGAATGTAACACAGTCTTAATCTGCAAGTCATTTCCTCTCATGGCAGGTTCTTTGATGCAGGTGAGGGGCTCTTGGTGCAAGGAATTGAACCTGATTGCCTCTTATTCCCCCAGGTGCATTATTATCCTTATGGGTTTAGCACTCTTCTATGAATGTTTACAACAAATATGTAAATTTATTGATTTACCTAAAAAAAAAAATGATAGTGCTATTGACTAGTTGAGTTTTAGTAAGACTGATTTTTATAAGATTATCAGCTTTGGTACTGTGACGAATTTCACTGCTGCCACACTTCTCTATACTTTTGGTGTGCAGCACTGGAAGACTAAATTTAGTTGATTTTCCCAAATATACAGAAATGCATTAAAGACAATAGTTGGTGCATGCTAACAGTGCAGTAGTCATAATAGTAATAAAATAATAGTAATATTATTATTATAATCAAAACTAAGCACTAAACCCACAAGAGCCATACAGTATAATAGTAATAAAATTATGCAGAAAATACACATCTGATTTTATAAAAACACTCAATAATGGCTCTGCTGGAAGATCTAGACAGATTCAGTGCAAATGATAGATGTATGATGGATGTTAATTTTAACAAGTACCAACTACAGTAATAGATATGGAAATGAAAATATGCTATACAAATATAGACTAAATGGAGGTGAAAACATGTCATACGAATACAGACTAATTAAAGTTACAAACATCATATGGAGTGGGACCTATAGGAGCCATCACTGTCAATAAGATTGTCACTAACAACCATTTAAAGGGTTCCTTGCATAATTGAAAGACTATTTGTTCAATGAATCAGTTTCCCCTCCCTTTTCTTGAATCACAGTTTGAATAGAATGGGCATTTCCCCATTTTTAAAAATTTGCTGTAGCTTATGGCTGTAACCTTACACTGTGACAAATGAACTTTGCCATGTGCAGTTGCCTCTGATGCTGATTAATTATTATTATAAAAAAGAAGCGCTAAGCCACAAGGGCTATACAGCGATGCTGATTAAGATCACTAATGTCATCTTTGTTGCCACTAATGTTGTCTTTGCCACTTCTGTTGATGATTCTGGGTAATGGAAGTGTTCTACACCTACATCTCTTTGTTTTGAAATGCATTTCTCTTTATATTACAGGTCCACATCCCTTTGGCCGAAATTCTGAAATTCGAAAAGTTCCGAAAACCGAAGTTTTTTTTGTGGAGTGTAGAGCATCAGTCATCTCAGTGCTGGGTCACACCGCCACATGGTGGCATTGAGAATCATTCTGAAATTCAAAAAACTCTGGAATTCGAAACAATACTGGCCCTAAGGGTTTCAGATAAAGGGATGTGGACCTGTATTGTATGTAGTGCTTAATCACCCTTTTGGGTTTGGGGTTCATTGAATTTACTATTCATAACTTATACAGTTAAAACCTCAGTCATATTAGTAACTAATTATATTCTAAGCTTTACAAGGAATTGTTCATTATTAACCCTTAAACGGTCCAAACAGATCGACGTTCAAATTCGTACTGCTACAAAAGTAGATCTACTTTTTTTTACATATTTTCAAATATAACAAAAAAAATGTAGACAAAAGTTTTTTTACACATTTTCACATGTAAAACAAAAAAAAAGATTACATTTTTTTACATACTTTCAGATGTTGAAAAAACGTATATATACGTTTGGACCATTTAAGGGTTAAGTTAGGGTATAATACCTCAAGCAAAAGATAAAGAATCTAACACAAAGTGGGAGTTGTCACAGTTGCTCTTTGCTGATGACACAGCGATTTTGGGAGATTCTGAAGTGAAGTTGCAGAGGTTGGTGGATGAGTTTGGTAGGGTATGTAAGAGAAAATTAAAAGTGAATAGTATAAGAAAGAGTAAGGTGATGAGGATGACAAGATTAGGTGACGAAAGATTGGATATCAGATTGGAGGGAGAGAGAGTGGAGGAGGTGAATGTATTCAGATATTTAGGAGTGGTTTGGGTCTACAAAGAATGAGGTGAATCATAGAATTGATGAAGGGAAAAGGGTGAGTGGTGCACTTAGGAGTCTGTAGAGACAAAGAATTTTGTCTGTGGAAGCAAAGAGGGAATGTATGAGAGTATAGTTATACCAACACTTTTATATGGGTGTGAAGCATGGGTGGTGAATATTGCAACAAGGAGAAGGCTGGAGGCAGTGGAGATGTCATGTCTAAGGGCATGTGTGGTGTGAATATAATGCAGAGAATTCGTAGTTGGGAAATTAGGAGGAGGTGCAGGATTACCAAAACTATTATCCAGAGGGCTGAGAAGGGGTTGATGAGGTGGTTCGGACATGTAGAGAGGATGCAACAAAACGGAATGACTTCAAGAGTGTATAAATCTGTAGTGGAGGAAAGACAGGGTAGGGGTCAGCCTAGAAAGGTTGGAGGGACGGGGTAAAGGTGGTTTTGTGTGTGAGGGGCTTGGACCTCCAGCAAGCATTTGAGTGTATTTGAAAGGAATGAATGGAGACAAATGGTTTTTAATACTTGACGTGCTGTTGGAGTGTGAGCAAAGTAACATTTATGAAGGGATTCAGGGAAACCGGCAGACCGGACTTGAGTCCTGGAGATGGGAAGTACAGTGTCTGCACTCTGAAGGAGGGGTGTTAACGTTGCAGGTTTATAACTGTAGTGTAAGCACGCCTCTGGCAAGACAGTGATGGAGTGAATGATGATGAAAGTTTTTCTTTTTCGGGCCACCCTGCCCTGGTGGGAATCGGCCGATGTCTTAATAATAATAAATAAAAAACCTCAGGCATATTACAGTACTGTATGTGATTTATTTCCATGATGGAGGTTCCTTGATGCTGGTGAAAGCTCTTGATCCAAGATATTAGGCCTGACCTTTCCTTACTTGGATCAAACCTGATTACCCCCCCATCCCATTTCTCAAGGTGCTGTATTACCCCTACAGGTTAGTGCTCTCAACATAAATGTATTTGTGAAGGATCTTCTTAAATACGATTATCAGTGTTATCTGTACTTCGTCAGTGTCGAGTGTTGCCTTTATGTATTTTAATATATGTTTTGTCAGTTTCACTTTTTTTCTGTAAGTAAATGCAGAATGGTACAATCAGATTTCTAAGTTTCCTATACTCTAAATTCGGATTTTGATTATTCAAAACTTTTACTGAAGGTTTTTTATTACCCATTTTATCATTTTGCAACACACCATCTGCCTCCCACCAAGGTAGAGTGACCAGAGAAAATAGAAAATACATTCACCATCATTCATTGAATCACAGTCTTAGCAAACGATGACCCTCTGAACTGCAACATCTTCACCCCTCCTTTAAAGTACAGGCATTGCATTTTCCACCTCCAGGACCCAAATCTGGCTAACCAGTTCCCCTGAATCCCTTCAGAAATGTTACCTTGCTCACACTCCAACAGCACTTCTTCATAAAAACCACTTGCCTCCACTCACCCCAATTGAACATGCTCACACAAGCCTGCTGGATGTTCAAGGCCCTAGCACTCAATACCCCCTTCCTCTACACTTCCCAGATGACCCATACCCCTCCTTCCCTCCACTCCAGATTTATATACCATCCTAGTCACCCTGTTTTGTTTCATTATCTCTAAATGCTCAAACCACCTCAACCTCTCTTCAGCCCTCCAAATTATATTTTTTGGTAACCACACTGCTGAATCTCCAAGCTTCAAGTTCTCTGCATAATACTTACGTTGCCCTCAAACACGGCATCTTCACTGCCTCCAGCTTCTTCCTTGCTGCAGCGTTTAAAACCCATGCTTCACTCATATAACATTTGTTGGTATCACTCTTCTATGGTACATTTCCCCCTTTTGCTTCCATGGATAAAGTTTTGTCTTAACAGATGCCTCAAATCACCACCACCTTCCCCCCCCCCCACAGTTCTATGGTTCACCTCATCCTTCGTAGACTTATTAGCAGACAAATTCACTCCCAGATATCTGAACATCTTTACTTCCTCCATATTCCCTCCCTCCAATCTGATATCCAAGCTTTCATTATCTAAATTTTTGTTGTTCTTTCCTAGGTTCACTTAATTTTCTTGTACATACCTTCCCAAATTCCTTCACCAACCTTTGCAACTTTTCTTAGAATCTCTCAAGAATGTGTTCAACCCATAACGGTCATTGAGCTCTTTGTTCACTGGATTCCTCAACCAACCTCTTTCTTTCTGGCTGTAGACTTATCGACTATAACCCTCGCAAATTGGAGGGCTGACTGTACAGTATAAGAAGTATCTCCACATTACATTACATTAATTTTTCAGTTCCACACTATGCCCAAGTCACAAGAAGTGGTGCATCAGTATTTGCAAGAGGTTGAAGAAGCCGCTGAAGAGGTCATTTCTGACCAACAGGAAATTATCTCTCTTGACCGTCGGCGTAACACCAATAGGGAGGCACTGCGGCAGCTACGAAAAAACAACTTAACTAGCCAAAATCCCTCTACCAAAACATGGATCTGTGTTGGTAATATGTTTCTGAGGATGCCAAAAAATATTGCAACAGAGAATATAGAGAAAGGTGAGTGCATATTTCCTCAAAGATTGTCACTCTATACCAGCTTTGCAACTCCAAAGAAATATTTTTTTATATTTTCAGTATGGTAGCCCATTAAGTGTTAAGTCTACTTGTTAAGCATGGTTAGGGCTCAAAGCTTTTCTGCCCCATTATTACAGTACACGGTGTTATTCTAATTATTATAATAATAATATCATTTACAAAATAATACTAAACCTATATTGGTCATTCACTTGAAATGTCTAAACAAGATTCTAAATGAGACCATCCCTGAAAGACAGGATTCCTGTATGTTATCTTGTATCAATGATATACTGTACTAAAATTGACCAAATACAGCAAATTATTCCTACATTATATATTGCATAGAAATTTGGAGTTATTTCAGTTCTCATTATATTAATGGGCTAATATTTTATTGTGATTATCTTATTTAATTAATGTGACCCATTTTTTGTCCCTCAAGAGCAAAAGCAGCTAGACACTGAAATCAACAACCTGCGAAACGGACTCTCCAGTAAGGTCAACTATCTAAATGATTTAGAACACAAGCAAAAAATAGTTGGAACAAACCTCAAAGCTTTATCTCCTGAAGAATGGAATGCTGTGAAACAGGTTCTGGGCCAATGAAGTTGTGAACAGTACACTTTACAAATCATGAACTGTCATAAAAATGTTGATTTGAGTATCAAGCCATCCACTGTGAACTGATAAACCAGATATTTAAAGTTTGCTCTAACATCCCTCCATTACCCATTTTAAATTGGCAGCAATAAATACTCATATCAACTGACACTAAGAAACAGCCAATGAAACCATAAAAACCCTAGAAAACATCTCAGAAGTTGCTATTTTAAACCAAACATGAGACTAGGAGTTTACATTTCCCATCATGTACTGTGTCAAACAGAACTTTTTTTTTATACCATGTACACTCGCCACAGACTCATTCTTTCATGTCTAGGCCAAAATTTACCACTCATAGCATATTTAAAGGATATGTGTTTAAAACATAGATCTATGTGAGCAATACTGGAGACAGTAAAAGGATTAAGCTTCAGGAATCTTTTCATGCTTTTAGGTCTCATTTCAAAGTGCATCTCTTTTCTAGATCTTACAATCCTGATAATAATATGGTCAATCTCAAATATAAACTTTAGAATTCCTTTTTTTCATTACTGTGTTTATGGTTTGGTGTATGATCATGCTAATAATACATGGATAACAAAGATGCTTTTATTTTAATACAGTGGTACCTCGAATTTTGGCCTAAATTAGTTCCAGAAGGCTGTGAGAGTGCCGTTACCGAATGAATTTGTTCCCATAAGGAATAATGTAAATTAGATTAGTCTGTTTCAGACCCCCAAAAATACACTTACAAAAGCACTTACAAAAATACACTTACATAATTGTTCGAGTTGAAAGCTGTTCGAAATTCGAGGTAACATTGTATTTAAATGTCTAAAATGGAGATTAACCCTTAAACTGTCCAAATGTAGATCTATGTTTGGGCATTTTAAGGGCTAATACAGTGGACCCCCGCATAACGATTACCTCCGAATGTGACCAATTATGTAAGTGTATTTATGTAAGTGCGTTTGTACGTGTATGTTTGGGGGTCTGAAATGGACTAATCTACTTCACAATATTTCTTATGGGAACAAATTCGGTCAGTACTGGCACCTGAACATACTTCTGGAGTGAAAAAATATCGTTAACCGGGGGTCCACTGTATTGAGTCATGTCATTTTTGTCTGTCTTTTTTTCTCTAAGCAGGCATTATTAAATTTCATCTAATGGTTGGTGGCATTTCAGTGTTTTATACCTACATGGTTTGTGTAAGTTTTTGCTTCTGCATGCATTGATGTTTGTTCAGACATGTTCTTAGGCTTCATGTTGTTGTTATTATAATCAAGGGGGAGTGCTAATCCCATAGAATTATGCAGTGTCTGTGGGGGGGATGTGGAAGGTATTCAGGCTTAATTCAGGGAACTGGAGCATAGATCCAGTTCCCTAGATAAAGAGCTCCTGACCATGTCAAGGAGGCTTCATGTTGTTTCCTTGATGCATACCTTGTCACAGCCTGAAAGATACCTGAAGGATGTTTCCAGGGGTCACTGCCCTGGCTGCCTGGGAATTATGTAAACCCTTGCAATGGCTGGTTCAAAGTTTCCAATTTGGTCTTGGTAAGGTTCATGATGGATGTGCTGGTTGCTATTATAACTGTTGGCTTTTGAGTGCTTTAGAGACATTTAGAAACTTGGCTGCTGGGAAGGCTTGTAATTTTAATTCCAGGTCATGTTAGCTCATGAACAAATGACTATTTGGTGGGTTTATTTCTTTCAGACTTTGACAAAAAAAAGTTAGGAGAATGTAACTTGAAGATTTGGTTAATGTATGTGCACTCCTCAAGAAACTGGGTGCTGCAAATTTGGTATGCTCTCAGGAAAAAAATAACAATGATGCTTTGTTTAGTATTGGTATCTTGACTGAAACAGAAGTGTGTAAGCTTCCTGTAGACTTGGAATAATAAGGTGTTCACTGCAATGTGGGTGAGGACATCAAGGAATGTGACATCCTCATATTTCAGTCAAGATACTAACACTAAATGAAGCTTCATCATAGGATTTTTCCTGCTTGTATACTAATTTTGCAGCCCCAAGTTTCTGGACCGAGCTACATTTTCCTAACTTTTTGTTATCCAAGACTGTAAGCAACAAGTCCTTTCAAATCATCATTTGTCCTTACACTAACACCACTTTGAATGGTTATAATCCTTCCCAACAGCCAAGTTACACTTGAGAGTCTCCCAAGCACTCACTCAAGCCAACAGTAGAGCTGCCACAGCAACCAGCACATCCATTAAAGACCTCACTAGGACCAAAGTGAAGACCCTTAAACCAGTCATTGCAGGAGTTTGCATAATTCCTTGTGGAGGTTGTGACAAGGTAGGACTGGATTGAATATGGTTTGCCAGTAATGTCCCAGCCCAGGTCTTTTCCAGTTGGTGACCCAGCATGATATGGTATATATTGGGGAAACAGCATGAAGCCTAGGAATGATAAAATCAGACACATGTGCAACACTTGGGTATCTTTAATGAGGAAACGTTTTGACACGGTGGCTTCATCAGTCCATACAAAGGAGAATGGTGAAGAACAGGAGTAGTTTGAGGTAATCAGTCAAGTGTTGCACGTGTCTAATTTATCAACTTGTCGGTTCTCTGAACCATTCATCTACAAGCCTAGGAATGTTTGAAAAAACACATCAGTGCATGCAGAAGTAATGACTTAATGCAAGAACACAACACCTGACTGCCACTAACCACTGGAAAGATACAATAATTCCTGTTGATTGTAAAAAAGAACCAAATACTTACAGACAAAACTACCTTGAATCAATATTAATCTCTATTTCAGTCAGAGTAAAGGCAGCTGCAGTCTCTGAAGTATTAGCATAAGTCCTTAAAACAAACCTTGGAGTCATATAGCTAAAAAGTTACCTCTGCTTCTACTGTTACCACCACCAGTAGGCCTACTGCAGCACTTATTGTATATTCCTCGTGTTGCCTCGCCATGCTCCCTCTCCGTATCCTTTGTCCTTATATTGTTTGTATTGGCTTAAAGCTCTTGGAGAGTGAAACATAGCCACAATAAAATGCCTTGTTAGCTATACCTGCCCTTTTTCCTAACAAACAATGTCAGTAATTCCATCAACCTTATTTTAAACAATTTTTGATTAATTGGGGTGGCACTAAACCCATACCTTTGAAGAGTTTTGAGAGCTTCTCTACTCTCTAAGCCAGGCCATGAGCCAGGCTCGTCTGGTGCTTGCCTGGTCAAGCACCAGAGTGACTGGGGAATGGAAGACATTCAAGTTCAATCCAAGGAAGGAGGGAATAAGTTTAATACCCTGGATCAAGAGCCCCTCACATACATTAACTTTGAGGGTTGACATATACGTGCAAAACAGTGTGTTCACCTTGAACAGATAATTTTGGTGGGATTTCATAAAGGAAAGATTAAAATCTATAGCATAATTAAATAAGTCTGTTTATTACTATACAGCAATAATGACTTACACTAAAATTACAATTTTAATTAATGTAAAAAAAAATTCTGTATTACCTACATACCTAAATTATTTTACTTAAAAATTTCAAGCCTGAGAAACTAAATCTACTTTTCACTCAACTGTACATACAATGATCTACACACAGAACAGCTTATTCAATAACACATTCTGCTCCTACTGCCTTAAAAGCTTCCAGTAGTTGCTCAGCCTCATCCTTTGGAATATCAGCCTTCACAACACAGGGACAGCTCTCCACAAACTTTTTGGCCTGTAACATAAAACAAGTTTCGTCTTAAAAAATATGGAAATGTGTGTCAGGATATGATCACAAAATACAAAATACTCTGGAACATAGACAGAACACACATGGAAAGGCTCTTTACCAAAAAGGGAGAATATGGAACCTAAGGAATTACATGGATATCAAAATATATTTCTTCAGCATAAGTGTAAAAGGAATGGACTGAACACAACACAGGAAAGATTATAAAGGGGGTTCAAAATGAACGATGACTCTTTTGCTTTAATCAAGAATTAGGAAACGATACAAAGCTGGAGCCTACCCACCCTCCCTACAAAAATAGGGCAAATCAATGAACATACTGATTTTTTCAAAATTTACATAAAAATATATGCAGAGAGCATTAAAAACCCTATTAAATTAAAACAAATAGTTAAAATTTTACCTGTTGAAAGACATGATTTTAAAGGAAAATAAATAGGAAAAAACTGCATGAACTTATTCAACTACACATAAAGTAACAAAACTGCTAAGAAAACAAGTACTTAACATGACTTGACTAAAACTTTAACAAAAGCATATCAGCACACTAATGCAAATTATACAACAATAACCACTAAAAACAATTGCATTTACCTGAACAAGATTAAATCCTTCCAGACGTGCCTTGACTTCCTTAATAAGAGCCACTTTCTTGGATTCATCAAATTTATTCATCTTCAGTGTAAAACTAGTCTGAACCATGACAGGAGCAGCCTCTTCCTCTTCCTCCTGTCAAATAAGTTATATTAGACGTTATACTGAAAACAATAGAAATTTAATTTAATTCCACTGATACTGTGCTTGCACAAAAAAAAAAAAAAAACTTTTAAGAGCAGGGATGTAAAGACTTTAGTGAGATTGGTCTCTACTTTTTGCAAAACTGTATGACTCTCATATGTTTAGCACTTAGTTATGATTATAATAATACTTTTTCCAAAGGATTATCCACTACAGCTCTATTTTCCTCAACTGCCAAACCTCAAATGCAGATAATGTTCATTATTAGTGTGTTATTATATTTAGGGGAAAAGCACTAAACCAGTAGGGGTCATAAAGGGCCTGGAGAATAGGAGGCAATCAGGTTCAATCCAAGAGGGAAGACACATCACTAGTAAAGACAATACATACAAATTTTGCTAACAGTAATGATGATAAGATAATGAATGTTATTCTTTTGGTGGTAGCCATCAAATCCAGTGTTCATCAGTGGTGTGTGTTGTAATATAAGGTCTTTATTGCTAGGCTAGAACAATGTTCATCTGCTCATCAGGAAATTGATGGAGAAAATCATTCTTACCAATCACCTGACTATTGCCCATGACCTCATCTCTCATAATGAAGCAACAGATTACCACTCTCTCTTGCAATACCCATCAAACTTGGTAATGCATGTGTAACAGTAGAGTAGCTCCAATTCCTTGGATCAAGTGTTCTTCACTAGCATCATTACACCTTCAATAGTGCATTTTCTTTTTTAAATATCTTAGACTTTTATCACTTATGCTTATATACATCATGTAATGCAATTGCACTTGTGCATACTGATGTTCTACACTATTTGTTAAGATTTAAACTACTGTATTATTTATGCCTCTCTCCTTTGCACCTTTTACTTTTCAATAACCTGCAGACCCCAGTTTCACCCTCATGATCATGACATGATCAAAGTGTACAAGACATAATCAAAGTGTATGAGACATGATAGAAGTGTACAAGTGGAAGATGGGTATTAATAAAGGGGATATAAATAAGGTCTTGAGGATATCTCTCCAAGAGATAACCCATAATAATGGATTCAAATTAGACAAGTTTAGATTTAGAAAGGATATAGGAAAGTATTGGTTTGGAAATAGGGTATTTGATGAGTGGAACAGTCTGCCTAGCAGGGTTATTCAGGCTAAGACCTTGGGTAGTTTCAAATTTAGGGTGGATAAATACATGAGTGAGAGGGGTTGGATTTGAGTGGGACTTGCACATGAGTTAACAGAATTATCAAAGTTATTGCTTGGGTAAAATTGAAAATTGAGTTGGGCAAATATTCTGTTAGTGGGATGGATTGTGAAGGACCTGCCTAGTATGGGCCAACAGGCCTGCTGCAGTGTTCCTCCTTTCTTATGTTCAGCTAAACCGCTCCTACTCTTAGGCAGTTTTTAATTCCGCTCATTTTATTTAGGGAGGGTCTCTCGGAAACTCATGTAAACTTACTGTTTTTTTCCTCTCTGCTTTACTCATATGGTACATACACAAATAACCCGCACATAGAAGAGAGGAGTTTACAATGACATTTTGGTCTGACTTGGACAATTTACAAAGTCACACTGTGACTTTGTGACAGTGTGACTTCGTAAATTGCCCAAGTCGGATCGAAACGTTGTCATAAGCTCCTCTCTTCTGTGTGGGTTATTTGTGTATCATTCCAGTCACGGTATTGTGCCTTTTTTTTTGTTATTCATATGTACATGACTTCAATAAGAGATGTTCAGCCTGTTACAACCCTCACACTTGTATTCTTTCATGTATTGACCTCTCATTTTGTTTACCTTGCATTGCACTAGACTTTGGCTGGACAGTAGTAAAGGATCTCCATGATAACAACCCTTACCTCCCATTATCACTCTTCCGCTCCTATGTACCCATACTCCTTGCTGTTACCAGTATCGCTCTAAGAGTGCAAACTGAATTTGGTGGGAAGCTGGTTACTGAACTCAGGTAGGGGTGTGAGTGTCCCGCTCTGCTGGGGCTTGGCAAGGGGGTCCACCGGATCTAATTGGAAACTTCGAGTTTCTATTTCTATTTACAAAGGAACTTTTGTTCCTTTTCTCTCATCTTCCAGCCTTGGGCAACAATTTTTCCTCATACCATCGAGAAGTCGGGCTCAATACGGCTTATGCTGTCAGTGGCCCTCATAAACCCAACAAAGAAAGAAAGAAGAGTGCAAACTGAACACACTTGACATACTGTCCCTCTTCCAACTCCTCCTGCAAATGCCTCCTCTATTAATAAGTTTTTACATCTTTTTAACCATTCCCTGGACCCTAAGAAAACATTTTCCTAGAAGTGTACCTTGGTAGCCTTAAATGCTCAAGGTATTCAAATAAAACATGCCATTTGCAATCACTCCCAGTATACTTATGCCAATAAGCATTATCTTGTTTTCAAGCATCTGGATCAAGCACACAGTCAGCCAACTAAGATACTTGTTAGTGCTCATGCCTCTACTCTAAAATGAGACTCTTTAAAATACCGTACTACAGAAAAAAAAAATAGTGGGAAAGTATTTACAGAACCTCAACAATAATGGTGCAAAGCTAGCCAACCGTGATGCTGGTATAGCAAAAGCAATATGGCAACATTTTGCTCAGGTTTCTCAAGACTTACATTTGTCTCCTGACTTTCATCAGTCCAACCCCATGTAAGAATCTACTCCACCGAGCTTTCTCTCTCAAACCAAAGAAACTCATAACATTTCGTTAAAGCTGTACGGAGATATTGCTGAGATACTAGTCAACAGTAGCTAGTCCTGATGATGTACATGTTCCCACACTTCAAGATTTGCACCCTTCAGCACTTGACTTCCTAGTACAGCTCTTCAATTGCATCTGGGCTGAAGGAATTTTACCCCTTCAACAAGACTGTAGTGGTGCATCGAGACACAGCCTATCCCAATGAAACCTTTTTTCTTCATTTATCCTTAGTCTTATAAAAAACTAGATTTATTGAAAGAAAAATGTTGAAGAGACTGTGGAGCAAGCAAAATAGTACTGCAAGATGTGTGAAAAAAAAAAAACAGCAGTGCAGGATAGAAATAAATGGTATAAAATACCGACACAATGGAAATATAAACACACATGCAGTATAATGTGATCCTTTATCTCTCTGTGACTTGATAAAGCCCACTGTGTGGGTGAAACGTTGTCAATAAAGGATCACATTATACTGCATATGTGTTTACATTTCCAGCAGTGCAGGATGTGTAGCAAAGAAATAACTCTGCTTTATGATAGTGCTGCCATGGGTGACAGCCTAACTGGTCAGTCATATACAGTAGCTATTTACTAGCTTGCTTAGTCATAGGCGTTTTTCTTCCTCAAAGAATTGTCCTCTGTGTACTGCTCTCATGGACTTAATTTACGAAAGCAATTACATGCTGCACCAAAAATTTTCATATATAATGTACCTGTACTGCATTTTTCTCAATGACTATAATATTTTCACATTACTGCATCTTTTTTTTCCCTCACACATGCCAAACATCATTCTGACTACTACTGATAACTCCTTTAGTAGAATGAAATTACTTAAATACATCTTAAAGAACATATCCTAGTTTTGCTTAATAAAAGCTTGCCTGAAAAATGTACATATGTTGGTATTAAATAAGTTTTAGGAAGAATACATGCCCCCTCCAGCTCAGAATCAGTAACATGCAGTGATAATATATACATATAAGGAAATTATATATTATATTATTTTACCTCAGCATCCTGAGTATGCATAATGCAAAATAGAAATTCAATTATTTGAAACTTAAATTAAATTAAATTAATTATTTGAAACTATGTATTATGAAGAACATATATGTAGTTACTGTACAGATATCATAAAATTAAGGAGTACAGGCATACCTCATTATTGCTGAGCTTGCTTTAGAGTGTTTCACTAACACAGGTTATGGGTTTAGTGCTTGGTTATGATTATAAAAATAATTTACTAATATGACACTCTTCAGTTATATTCATGTTTATTATTTTTGGCACTTGCCTTGCTCTTACGATGGTTTTTCAGCAATTTAAAAAAAATTTTTTTTACTTCTGAATTTTTTTTTTATAGGCCTAGTGCTATTCCATACTTAATGATAGTGTAAATGTGATTTTACTCTTTTATATGCACTGGCAAGTGAAAAGAGGCGATATTTGCTTTGTGGCTAATATCTCCTCACTAACTCGCCATGTTAGTGAGGTATCCCTGTATTGTTATTTTAGGAACGAGGCTCAAGTCCCCAGCATTAGTCCTTCAATGCTACTAGCACCATTATGAACAGGCAAATACTGTACCAGTATGTATGGGCAATCACCTTTATACAAATGTTTAAATAAAATCTATCTTCAATGAAAAAGAAACATAATGAATATAAGTCAATACAGTGACTGGAAAAATTCACAAATACACACTTTGGATAGAAATCTTTAGAACAATTTTTCTCAAACTTCAGTCCATCATGTACCCCTCTGAATAGATGTAAACAATACCTTTGATAAACATTGCTCACAATTAAGATATACAGATAAATCAATATACTCTTAATTTTTAGGAGTATACTTAATACATAAATTGTTACTATGAACAACTATATGCAACATGACAGACACAGTGCTTGCAAAAAAAATATTTATATCTTCACACTAGGATAAAAAATACAGTGGACCCCCGGTTCGCGATACTAATTCGTTCCTGAGAGCTCATCGTAAACCAAAAATATCGGAAAGCGAATCAATTTTCCCCATAAGAAATAATGGAAATCAAATTAATCCGTGCAAGACACCTAAAAGTATGAAAAAAAAAACTTTTACCACATGAAATATTAAGTTTAATGCAATAGAATAGTAATTACAATAACAACAATAACAATAAATAACAATAAATAACGAAAGAATAATTGACACTTACCTTTAATGAAGATCTGGTGATGATTGATGGGATGGGAGGAGGGGAGTGTGTGGATGGTGTTAGCATTTAGAAGGGGAATCCCCCTCCATTAGGACTTGAGGTACAAGTCCTTTTCCAGGGTTACTTCCCTTCTTCTTTTAATGCCACTAGGACCAGGTTGAGTCACTGGACCTCTGTCGCACAACATATCTGTCCATAGAGGCCTGTACCTCTCGTTCCTTTATGACTTTCCTAAAGTGGTTCACAACATTGTCAGTGTAATAGTCACCAGCACGGCTTGCAATAGCTGTCTGAGGGTGATTTTTTTACCAAATCGTCATGCAACTGCCTAGCCTTTTCACAAATGATTGCTTGAGAGATGCTATCTCCTGCTATTGTTTTTCATTTATCCACACCAATAACAGTCTCTCAACATTTTCTAACACTTGCGGTCGCTGTTTCGTAATCACAGTTGCACCTTTTGCAAGAACAGCTTCCTTGAGTGCCGTTTTCTTGCTCACTATAGTAGAGATGGTTTATTGGGGTTTACTATACAACCTGACCAGCTCCGACACACGCACTCCACTTTCGTACTTTGCAATTATCTCTTTCTTTATTTCAACAGTCATTAGCACCCTTGGTCTCGAAGGGTTGGCACTGGGAGCTTTCTTGGGCCCACGGTGACTTATTTTGCAAAAACAGGCACCAAAAACAGTGATAATATGGATAATATGGAATGTACCGAATGTATCCTTAGATGCGCACACACTGGCTGGCTTGTAAACACTGGCACACACGGGGCAGTTCAGGCCACACATGGACACTTTCTCGTACGAACCACATCGCATACTGGGTTTTGTATCGGGAAGCGAGGCAAATTTTCTGCGATATAATGCATCGGTTACCGGATTTATCGGATACCGATAGCATCGCGAACTGGGGATCCACTGTATACACATTTTTTTTAGCCCTTTAACTTTGGGGACCTAACTGTGAGCAATATATATTGTGTGTAATTTTTGTGCATTCAAATATCTCATGCACTGCCATTTTAAGCTTCAGCTAAACTATTTGAGTCACCTAGCACCTTTTCACACCTAGGATAAAATGTTGGGTCATTTGGGTCCATGCGGTGCATCATAGGAAGATAACATGATTAACATGAATTTAAACTAGCATCTTGTGATGATAAGATCATTGGCACTAAATGTATGCTTCAGACATGTACCATTAGGGAAAAAAAGCTGTAAGCTTAAGAGTGGCATTTCCTCTACAGACATAGACAAAAAATTACAAAACTTTTCAAGGGCTTCAAACTTTTGAAGATCGAAAAGAAACACTTATTAGAGAAATGGAAAACACTGAGCTCAAACTGACTGCATCATACAGGGCAGCTCAGAGAGAAAGAGCAAAAAGCCATAAATCAAACTGAGAGAAAACCAAAACATTTTTTCTCACATGCAAAGTCCAAGAACATAAGAAAGAAGGAACACTGCCGCAGGCCTACTGGCCCATGTGAGGCAGGTCCAAGTCACCTGGCTTAAACCAATGACCCACCTAGTCAGGTCAGGTCACATCCACTTAAAGAAGGAGCATGGCATCAGACCTATTAGCACAAGCTAGTCAAGTCCAACTCACACCCACCCACACCCACTCATGTACATTTATCCAATCTATTTTTAAAACTACACAATGTCTTAGCTTCTATGATGGCATGCCCATGCACTCTGCCAGGGTATTCATTCAGGATGCTGGCTTTGACAAAGCCACCATGAGACCATCCTCAACAAAGAGCCAAGCATATTTTTATAAGAATATACTTAGATGTACTTTTGTTTAAATACTGTATAGCACTGAAATGGTTCTTTTACTAAATAAGTCTTAATATTTGGAATGTTACATTAGTCTATAAAATAGTGAATATAAAGAAATTAAAAAATCAATGATGAAATAACACTCCAAATGGTCATTCACTGGCATACTGACTCCTCTCAAGGGAGGTTGTCTGATGCCATTAAGAGGCTGTTGGTCCAAGGAAGTTTACCTGTTCTCCCCTTCCTTGGATCTAACCGGATTGCTTCCTATTTCCTCAGGCATAGTATCACCTCTGTGGGTTTAGCGCTTCCCACTAAATACTATAACTGCATACCCTCTGAAAATTCCTTTGAGTACTCTTGGGGAATGCGCCTGGCCTAGTTTGGGAACGTCCTGCTATAAATGCTGTTTTAGAAGAGTAGTCACTAGCTCACTGCAGTGAACATCACCTTGCCCCCCCCTCCCCCATCCTTCCTCTTGCTTGAAAAAGTCATATATTTCCAATATTTGCAACCATAGTAGGGGGGGCTTTCCAGTTCCTTGGATCATGTATTTTTATAAACACTTCAATATTGTATATATTTTTTATATATTTCTTGGTTAATTTACACTTTTCTTGCATTTTAAAGACCAAAATGTTTTCTAGAATTTATCTTAATTTGTAAAAGCTCTATGGAAAAAAATTTTTATTTGCCTTTTGAAAACTACCTTTCTGCATTTTTTTTTTTCTGAGAATGCAACACCAGTAAATGCCTGTACTGAAATCAGGTCTCGCCCAAAAATCAGTTGTGGTAAACTCCAATTTCACTAGTTATTTAAGTCCTCATGGCACAAAAAGTAACACAAAAGATTTCCATGCTGGAGACCTCAGATGATTCTGCACAAAACTATATTGTACTATGATTGAATGATGCATTCACAACAAATTTATGTTAGCATAAATAGAGGCACAGTACTGAATAAAATGACAGTATACCTTATTTTCAAACTGTTACATTAGCAAATGTGAAATCTAAGCATGATCACTGGTTATGATTACATTACATGCTTATTAGTACACTCAACACCTGACATTACCTGAGCACCAGCTGGTACTGGCATCCCTCCAGCATATGCCATGATTGGGGCATCAGAAATATTAAGTGTCTTCTTGAGCAACTCATTCAGATCTGCCACCTCAACTAACGTCAACTGGGAGATTTGGGACACAATGGTTTGTATCTTTTCCGGATAAATCTGAAACCGACACATCATTAAAATCACATTTGTTTCTGGTACACTTTTTTTTTTTTTTTAAATCTTAAAGATATCCTTCAATATTCCTACTACACCTCATGATTCATAGAACTGATGAGGGGAAAAGGGTGAGTGGTGCACTTAGGAGTCTATGGAGACAAAGAACTTTGTCCTTGGAGGCAAACAGGGGAATGTATGAGAGTAAAGTTTTACCAATGCTCTTATATGGGTGTGAAGCATGGGTGATGAATGTTGCAGCGAGGAGAAGGCTGGAGGCAGTGGAGATGTCATGTCTGAGGGCAATGTGTGGTGTGAATATAATGCAGAGAATTCGTAGTTTGGAAGTTAGGAGGAGGTGCGGGATTACCAAAACTGTTGTCCAGAGGGCTGAGGAAGGGTTGTTGAGGTGGTTCGGACATGTAGAGAGAATGGAGCGAAACAGAGTGACTTCAAGAGTGTATCAGTCTGTAGTGGAAGGAAGGCGGAGTAGGGGTCGGCCTAGGAAAGGTTGGAGGGAGGGGGTAAAGGAGGTTTTGTGTGCGAGGGGCTTGGACTTCCAGCAGGCATGCGTGAGCGTGTTTGATAGGAGTGAATGGAGACAAATGGTTTTTAATACTTGACGTGCTGTTGGAGTGTGAGCACAGTAACATTTATGAAGGGGTTCAGGGAAACCGGCAGGCCGGACTTGAGTCCTGGAGATGGGAAGTACAGTGCCTGCACTCTGAAGGAGGGGTGTTAATGTTGCAGTTTAAACTGTAGTGTAAAGCACCCTTCTGGCAAGACAGTGATGGAGTGAATGATGGTGAAAGTTTTTCTTTTTCATGACACCCTGCCTTGGTGGGAATCTGCCAGTGTGATAATAATAAAAAATTCCTACTACAAAATGAAACTGGTTACTATGTTAGGAATTACCTACAATATACATTTTTGTATCATGTTTATTTTTTCTATTACTTTTATCAGCCTCATATAAAAATCTATATGTGCAGTCCAGCAGCATATCTTTTGCAATTTTGTACTGAATAATCCTCATGAGTTTAGTGCTTTTCATAAGTAAAAACATATTCTCACAGTCAAGAGGAATACATCCTGCCTTTTTTTTTTTTTTTTTTTTTTGGTTCTTCTCTATTCTTTTACTTATGCACTGACAATTCAATGAACTGGCCTCACACTATTTTTCACCTCCACTCCACTATGGGTTGAACCAACTATCTCATGTTTGAGGTACTCCTGCCTCTTTTCACAGCCATACATAGTATTTAGCAATGATATCATTATAAATGTAATCATGTTAATTCTACATCTAACAGCAAAGTTTCCTTTTGTTTGCTAATAGTCTCAGCTATCACCACACCTACATATCTCATTTTCTTACCCTAACTCCCATGCATGTGCTTTGTGCAACACTACTAAGTAGAACAGGAGCAGAGTACAAGACAAACTGAGCAATACCAAAGTTAGTTAGTTTAATATGTTTATTATGCACCCCATACCCATCCTGTGGGCAGTAGTCAAAAGATTACAGAGGTACATAATTGGTCCAGGGACTGGACTCCAAAGTTTTAATAGCTGAGGAAGTTACAAATGTAATGAACTAGATCTGGTCACAATCGTGACCAAGTACAAACATAATGAGCTCCAGATAGAGCTGGTCACACTCATGACTAATTACAAAGGTAATGAACTAGATTTGGTTACAATAATGAGAATTGACAAAGATAATGAGCTCCAGGAAGAGCTGGTCACAATCGTGAACACTTGATTAAAATCATGAACAATTTTCAGAGTAATGATCCGTTAACAAACATTGTAAGGAATTCATCTATTGCCAGCAGACGTTGCTAGGTGCCTGTCCCTCCTTGGCAGGACAGCCAGACAGCCATTGCAAACAGCAGCAAGTTGCCCCGGGATCTGTTGTTTGCAGAAGAGGCCAGCGACTCCGCAATACCAAAGTAAGACACGTGCAACATCTGGGTATCTTTATTGTACATGTTTTGCCATCCAGAGGCTTTATCAATACTGTAATTTGAAGACAGTAGAACTATATACAGAAGATGAGGTAATCAGTTCCTCAGCCTTGGAATTGGTGTGAAGAGCACCAAGTAGTAGTAGGTTGGTAGACAGCAACCGCCCAGGGAGGTACTACCGTCCTGCCAAGTGAGTGTAAAACGAAAGCCTGTAATTGTTTTACATGATGGTAGGATTGCTGGTGTCCTTTTTTCTGTCTCATGAACATGCAAGATTTCAGGTACGTCTTGCTACTTCTACTTACACTTAGGTCACACTACACATACATGTACAAGCACATATATACACACCCCTCTGGGTTTTCTTCTATTTTCTTTCTAGTTCTTATTCTTGTTTATTTCCTCTTATCTCCATGGGGAAGTGGAACAGAATTCTTCCTCCGTAAGCCATGCGTGTTGTAAGAGGCGACTAAAATGCCGGGAGCAAGGGGCTAGTAACCTCTTCTCCTGTATATATTACTAAATGTAAAAGGAGAAACTTTTGTTTTTCCTTTTGGGCCACCCCACCTCAGTGGGATACGGCCGGTGTGTTGAAAGAAAGAAAGCACCAACTCCAAGGCTGAGGGACTGATTACCTCATCTTCTGTATATAGTTCTACTGTCTTCAAATTATGTCCTAGAATTTGTATTGATAAAACCACTGGATGGCGAAACGTCTACAATAAAGATACCCAGATGTTGTACATGTGTCTTAATTTCATCTTGTCGGTATTGTGTACCAGTCTTGTACAATATCAAAGTAAAAAAGCTAAATTGCTTTGTTTTGTCATGTTGTAGGAGTAAGTTGGAAGGATGGGATGAAACTGGGAGGATGAGATGAAGAAACTGGGAGGATGACATGCAGAAGCTGGGAGGATGATGTGAAGAAACTATTTTTGTCAAAATACTTTTAAGGGTGTAGAAAGTAAAGCATTTTACAGATAAAATTACAATTCTGTACAGGTGTACTATCGTTTCATCCAGTAATGCATGTGTGATCTGCCTAGATATTAAAAGCTTAAATAATGCTAGGACACTATTTAAGTAAAAATAAATCTTTTATGTAGATTGTTTGCATGTTTAAGGAATTTGGATGCCTGCAGTATATGAAAACTTTAAAAATAATATAAAATTTAAACAAAAATAAAACTACAGCAGTATATAATGGAGTGCATATATACTGTATACAATACAGTATACTGGAACTGTATAAAATTCATTACATAAACTCAAGAATGCAGCAAACCTTTGGTTCTCCATCAGGTGTTGGGATGGTCAGAGACTCGGCACACAAAAAACGATTCTGTTTATTTAGCACAAATGCTGCTGCCTGTCTCCACTTGCAGTGTCTAAGAAAAGAGAAGAAACAGCACATAACTTTAAAACATTCAATATAATTTGTAGTTTTCACTTTTCATATTTGATACCAAAAGTTTCATCCAGCATTTTGCTAGATTTAACAATTTAATAAGCTAATTATTTGCATGAAAATAAGAATAGCCAAAAAAGGAAAAAAGGCATGAAAAATTTAATTCAAATTGGAAGAGATATTTTTGCCAACATGTATTAAAGCTAAGGATACTAAGTTTCTTGAGGTTATTTTGCACTGCAGTGCAACAACCAACAAACTGGAAAGTACCTCATTAACTCACTGAATTATCCCCCACCCCCCTTTCCCCAGGGAAGAGGTTCAGTGCTCTTCATCCTGGAAATTGGAGCTACCCTCCCTTTCCTTGGATTTAAGATTGAATCTGATTGCCTCCCATTCCCTAAGGCACTGTACAACTCCTATGGGTTTAGTGCTCCCTCCCCATAGACCCTACTGAACCTAAATTAATCCAATGCTTTGGTCTGCCCTGGAAATAGGAGAATCATACAATTAAACACAAAAATAAGCAACACTATAACATATATTGTAAATATAGAAGCAAACATTAAGGTAAATTCCAAAGTCTACTGTATACAGACTTAATTTGTAATACAGTATATAAATTCATAATTTGTATCAAAAGTATTACTGCACTAACTAAGCAATGTGAATGATGAACTTATACATGAAACACATCCCAGACTATATGTATTGTAAAGTGAGTTAAAAACATTGTGTAGATTATGTATTACAACAACTGTACCTAGGATTACTTTTAAGTGACTGTTCTTGTCATCTGCACAAATTACTATTATTACATTCATGGGGGAGCACTAAACCCATAGGGGTCATAGTGCCTTGGGGAATTACCTGGAGTTTACCTGGAGAGAGTTCTGGGGTTCAACGCCCCCACGGCCCGGTCTGTGACCAGGCTCCTGGTGGATCAGAGCCTGATCAACCAGGCTGTTACTGCTGGCTGCACGCAATCCAACGTACGAGCCACAGCCCGGCTGGTCAGGTACCGACTTTATGGCATTCAGGCTTGATTCAAGGAATTGGAGTACAGGTTCAATTCCTTAGATCAAGAGCACATCACCAATATCTAGGAGCCTTCTTTGAGAGGCACAAATTACTAGTAGACTGCAAACTTGGTAGCGCACATAGGCAGACATATCTACGTACATAGATGTAGGGATTATGGTGCTATTTATAGGGAATTGCTGAACCATGAATCAAAGTCCCTGGGGTTTGATCCAAGGGGAGGGTAGCTCCAATTCCCTGGATTAAGAGTGTTTCACCAGCATGAAGACTCTTCCTTTGAGCGAATAATGTTAATTTAGGTACAGGCATACATTAAGTACATTTATCAGTGTAAATTACCTAGGAACTACAAAACCCGCAGGGGTCACAGCGCCTGGGGCATGAGGAATGGAAGGCAATCAGGTTTGATCAAATGAAAATGGATGGTAGTAACAATTCCTTAACCCAACATCTTATAATAAGAAGAGAAGCACTAAACCCACTAGGGTCCCTAGACCAAAAGCCGTCAGAATTTTTTTCAAAATAATTGTTACAATACAAACCTCAATGAACAGGTAAGAGCACCGTAGTTGGCAGCAGAGACGGCCCTCAGAGCCTGCATGGTGACACTATGGTCCTACACCACAGAAGAAGAAGAAATTAATATTAGTGGTGTGTTCCTGAGCGTGTACCAGCCTTGTCTGGTGGTGTTGAGAGTGTTAAGGGTCGCTACAACCTGAGCCGTACTCCACCCTACCAGACCACGGTAACCTGCAGTGACCCCCGTACCCGGTCACTAATACTAGTAATGATAAGGAAGTTTATTCAGGTATAAGAACATAAGAACGAAGGAACACTGCAGCAGGCCTACTGGCCCATGCGAGGCAGGTCCAAGTCTCCTACCGGCTTAAGCCAATGCACCCAACCTAGTCAGGTCAGGTCACATTGACTTAAGGGAGGAACACGGCAACCGACCTGGTAGCACAAGCTATCAGGTCTAACTCACACCCACCCACATCCACTCATGTATTTATCCAACCTATTTTTAAAGCTACACAACGTTCTGGCCTCTATAACTGTACTCGGGAGTTTGTTCCACTCATCCACAACTCTATTACCAAACCAGTACTTTCTTATATCCTTCCTGAATCTGAATTTTTCCAGCTTAAATTAACCATTGCTGCGAGTCCTGTCTAGGCTAGATATTTTCAGCACACTACTTACATCCCCTTTATTTATTCCTGTCTTCCATTTATACACCTCAATCATATCCCCCCTAATTCTACGTCTTTCTAGAGAGTGCAGATTCAGGGCCCTTAGTCTATCCTCATAGGGAAGGTTTCTGATACATGGGATCAACTTTGTCATCCTCCTTTGTACATTTTCCAGAGCATTTATATCCATTCTGTAATACGGTGACCAAAACTGTGCAGCATAATCTAAATGAGGCCTAACCAAGGATGTATAGAGCTGAAGAACAACCTGAGGACTCCTATCATTTATGCTTCTTGATATGAAGCCAAGGATTCTATTAGCTTTATTGCGAACACTTATGCACTGTTGTCTTGTTTCAGATTACTGCTAACCAGAACTCCTAAATCTTTTTCGCAATCCGTAATATTAAGATCTACATTATTTAGTTTATATGTGGCATGGTTATTGTCCTGTCCAACATTTAGAACTTTGCATTTGTCTATATTAAACTGCATCTGCCACTTCTCCGAGCACTGCATCAGTCTATTCAAATCTTCCTGGAGTGCTCTAATGTCCTCGTCAGAATGAATTCGACGGCCTATTTTGGTGTCATCGGCAAACTTTCTGATGTCGCTCTTTATGCCCTCATCTATGTCGTTTATGTAGATTGTGAACAGCAGGGGACCCAACACTGACCCCTGTGGAACACCGCTCGTGACGCTTCCCCACTCCGATTTCTCCCCATTTATGCAAACTCTCTGCTGTCTATTTGTCAACCATGCCTCTATCCAGGAAAAAATGTCTCCTCCTATTCCATGTGCCTTAATTTTCCTCAATAGTCTCTGATGTGGGACCCTGTCAAAAGCCTTACTGAAGTCCATATACACAATATCATATTCATTACCATGATCTACCTTCTCAAATACCTTAGTGAAAAAAGTTAATAAATTCGTAAGGCAGGAACACCCCTTTATAAAACCATGCTGAGATTCGTTGATTAATTTATGCTTTTCAAGGTGGCTACGAACTGCCTCGGCAATTATTGATTCTGTGGAAAATACTGTATATATTTTCCAGAAATTCAGTATTTATATGTAAATAGATGGCCATACTGTATTTAATAATATTTATGTCATAGAAAACGGAAAGCCTGCGTCTGCGCAGACGAGACTCGCCATCTTGGTTTTGAATTGGATACAACGTTAATATAATGGGAAGAATTTTTCGTGCTCTAGAGGTTAAAATTGGATTGACACCTCTCAAATAGGAGGCGAAATTGTTGGATGTGCATTCCTGCATAACTTGAGATATCAGACGACTGGACAAGACAGCTCCAGGAACCTCAGATAAGCTCTCTAGATTTGTGTATAATTCTGGTCAGTGTTTTCATAAATTTAGTTAGTGAGGTTTTTCTGAGTATGATACAACTTAATATCCAGTCAAATTGGTGAGTGATATTAAGATATATTTTCCTTCTGTTATGTATATGTGAATTTATATTAATCATTTTTTAATATACAGTCCACAAATTTATATATTTACCAGTATTCCTGGTGTATGTATATTTCATTTAATTAATAGGTCCAGAGCAACTTGTGGTTATGACAGTGGTAGGTATCGAAGGGGGACATTTTTTGCGACCTAGGTGTCCCAAATTCCTACTTGTCTATGTAACATTGATAAATAATAATTATCTTTGTTATCATTTACTGTTATGTACATAATTAGTTACATTCACACAAATGCAAATTTCCACAGATTCCATAAATTTTCCCACTATGGAGGTAAGGCTTATTGGTCTATAGTTCGAAGCTAAGGACCTGTCACTTGCTTTGAAAATAGGTATCACATTTGCCATTTTCCACTTATCTAGCACCATGCCAGTTTGTAGTGATATGTTGAAAAGATTAGCCAAAGGTGTGCTAAGCTCCTCTTTACATTCCTTTAGAACCCTTGCATACAGTTCATCAGGGCCTGGGTATTTGTTAGGTTTTAATTTATCTATTTGCCTAAGGACCATGTCACTTGTGACCCTAATCGTGCACAGTTTATTATCGTCCTGTTCTACATAATTTATCCTTTCTGGAATATCGCTGGTATCCTCCTGTGTAAAAACTGAGAGGAAGTATGTGTTAAAAATTCTACACATTTCCTTATCACTGTCAGTGAGCTGACCCGAGGAACTTTTGAGTGGGCCTATCTTGTTCCTGATCTTACTTCTGTATACCTGAAAGAATCCTTTTGGGTTAGTCTTCGATTCTCTTGCAACTTTAACCTCATAATCTCTTTTTGCTTTTCTAATTCCCTTTTTTATTTCTCTCTTTAACTGAATATATCGATTTGTTAATTGCCCCTCTCCTCTTTTGATTTGCCTATATATGCCTCTCTTTTGACCAATCAGATATTTTAATCTATTGTTCATCCATTTAGGATCATTTTTGTTTGATCTGATTTCCCTGTTTGGAACATAATTTGACTGAGCAGCTAGAACTATGCCCTGGAAAGAGTCATATCGGCAACCATCACCACCTACCTGACCCTTAGTCAGGTCATTCCAGTTCAGCCCACCTAAGCAATTTTTCGGTCCTATGTAATCAGCCAAGCGAAAGTCAGGGACAGAGACTTGATTGCCATTATTAGGGGAATTCCATGATATATTAAAACTGAGTGATTTGTGATCACTTTCCCCAACCTCATCATTAACCTCAAGATTATTAATTAGTGTTTCCCTACTGGCAAGAACCAAGTCAAGGAGGTTATTTCCCCTAGTTGGCTCTGTCACAAACTGTTTTAAAAACAATCCTGGATCGTATCAAGAAAGTCACCTGACTCTAAATTTCCTGTCAAATTGCTCCAGTCAATCTGTCTATAGCTGAAATCTCCCATTAGAACAACATTTTCGTATGTAGATGCCTTACGAATTTCGTCCCATAGAAGTTTACTGCACTCCCTATCAAGATTTGGGGCCCTGTAAATCACACCCAAAACCAGCTTTTCTCGGCCCTCGAGAAGCTGCAACCAAACAGATTCAGTGGCTGACGCTTCTAATTTTATATCTTGTCTAACACAACAATTTAAATTGTCTCTGACATACATCGCTACTCCACCACCCTTCCTGTTGACCCTGTCAGTGTGGAATAATTTATACCTTGTATGTGACATTCGGAGGGCATCTCTTTATCTTTCAGATTGAGCCAGGTCTCTGTTATAGCAATAATATCTATGTTTCCTGCACTTGCAATTAATCTTAGCTCATCTATCTTATTTCTTACACTCCTGCCATTAGTATAGTAAACCTTAAAGGAGCTAGTCCCTTGCTGCCCTCTGCTGTCCCCCTTTGTTTGCTGACCTGATCTATTGTCTTTATTTATAACGTCATGCTGAATGCCTTTTATACTTTTACTGTTTCAAACCCTAGTGTTGCAACCTGCTTGTTTCCCACACACACCCATACCTCTATCTTCTATCAGTTTAAAATCATAGGCATTTCACCAATGGCCTTCTCAATTGAGTTTGCAAGTGCTACCACCCCAGCCCCAGAGAGATGTACCACATCCCTTGCATACATATCATGTTTGCCATGAAAGTTGTTCCAGTTGTCAATGAATACCACCTGGTGGTTCACACTTACACTCACTCACTCATTTGACCATAAACAGAAATATTACCTGGAGTTTACCTGGAGAGAGTTTCGGGGGTCAACGCCCCCGCGGCCCGGTCTGTGACCAGGCCTCCTGGTGGATCAGCGCCTGATCAACCAGGCTGTTGCTGCTGGCTGCACGCAAACCAACGTACGAGCCACAGCCCGGCTGATCAGGAACTGCCTTTAGGTGCTTGTCCAGTGCCAGCTTGAAGACTGCCAGGGGTCTGTTGGTAATCCCCCTTATGTGTGCTGGGAGGCAGTTGAACAGTCTCGGTCCCCTGACACTTATTGTATGGTCTCTTAACGTGCTAGTGACACCCCTGCTTTTCATTGGGGGGATGGTGCATCGTCTGCCAAGTCTTTTGCTTTCGTAGTGAGTGATTTTCGTGTGCAAGTTCGGTACTAGTCCCTCTAGGATTTTCCAGGTGTATATAATCATGTATCTCTCCCTCCTGCTTTTCCAGGGAATACAGGTTTAGAAACCTCAAGCGCTCCCAGTAATTGAGGTGTTTTATCTCCGTTATGCGCGCCGTGAAAGTTCTCTGTACATTTTCTAGGTCGGCAATTTCACCTGCCTTGAAAGGTGCTGTTAGAGTGCAGCAATATTCCAGCCTAGATAGAACAAGTGACCTGAAGAGTGTCATCATGGGCTTGGCCTCCCTAGTTTTGAAGGTTCTCATTATCCATCCTGTCATTTTTCTAGCAGATGCGATTGATACAATGTTATGGTCCTTGAAGGTGAGATCCTCCGACATAATCACTCCCAGGTCTTTGACGTTGGTGTTTCGCTCTATTTTGTGGCCAGAATTTGTTTTGTACTCTGATGAAGATTTAATTTCCTCATGTTTACCATATCTGAGTAATTGAAATTTCTCATCGTTGAACTTCATATTGTTTTCTGCAG